TCAAATATTTACCTAGAAAAGATTCCCCGCATTTTCCGGTTAAAGCACTTTTGGCATTTTCCACATCTTTATCGTTATAATCTTTAATGTCTGTGAATGCTTCAGGATGTTGTTTTTGATAGTTATTAAAAGTATTAGCAATGGCCTTGTTACAAGGAGTACAAACTTGCTCTTTTGGTGCACCAACAAAAGTAAGGATGGGACTCTGGTCTTTTGGCGCATTATCAAAAATTTGTTTCGCAGCAGTATAACTTTCAATTAAACAATAACCATCCGTAGAATTCTTAAAGCACATGGAATCTCTTGACGGAGAATAAAGAGAAATTGCGACATCAATCAAAGTTACAACGTCATTATTAGCTTTTAAATCTTGTTGACACGCAGCTCTGAAATCTTTTTGAGTTGAGGCTATGAGGCTATCGGAACATTTTGGAAGACTACAAATTGAATCGGCCACAGTTTTCATGACGGCCTCTTTGTCTCCTTTTTGAGAACCAGTGAATAATGAAGCAAGTGATGAAATTGGAATGCAAGCGTTGATTTCTTGGGAACCGATTAATTTTTGCGCTTCATCCATACAGCTTTGTGAAAGGCCCATGTCATCAAATTGGGCGGAACTCAAAGTCGTCGATGCAAGGATTACGAGGGTAATAATGGAAGTGTATCTCATTTTTACTAGTTTGTTTTGAATCTTGTTAAAATGTAAATTTTTTCGGTTGTTTTTGTCTTTTAACAAATGATACGGTGAATTGAATTATTATTTAAATAAAAAAAAAAAATGGGAATAGCAATTATTTTTATGCCAAGAAATATCTCCCAACCTATTTATATCTTTATAGTGAAATTCGGTACCGCGTGCTTAAAGAATACAAATTAATAACCATAGTACTTATTTTTACTTATGGGGTAACAAGGAAAAATTTAAAATAAATATATATACCATTTTTAGGTCTCTGCACGCGCGATCATGTACTTACATGATGTAAATCTTGACATTTTTTCACGTGATGTATAAAATTGGACCTATAATAGGCAAGTGACACATCGTTTGCTTTGCCAAGAACTTATTAATTCGGATGCATTGAAACATCATTTATGTCACGATTTCCTAATTAGTGAGATTGAAAATCCGGGTAATTAGAGAAAATAAAACAAAAAAAAAAAAACCTCAAAGGAATCATTTCCGACTACTAATTGACAATTCGGATAACGATAAATAAAAATTGAATAAAAATAGTAGATTGACAAATTAACCAATTGGATTACAGCATCAGTATCACGTAATATAACTTGAATTTTGATGTTCGAATTTCTTTCCATTTGAACGTTTATATTATTATAGTTATGTCGGTTGTAACAATTTTTGTACAAAGTGATAACGCGTCTTCTGAAAGACGCTTTGATAAAGGCCTTACTATAAGACAACTTCGAGTATGTTCCTTCTGTTTAAAAGCTTGTTTCCTTTATTAAAAATAAATATATTTTAAAATTTACCCTTTTACAGATTAAACTTGAGCCTATTACAGGCATTTCTGCCGATTCACAAGTTTTACAACTATTTAATGGAGATACTTTGGTTACTTCCGTTGAAGGGGATGATTATATGCTAGGCGCTTTTCCGGTGGACAATTTTATGACACTCAAGGTAAATCATTTTCTTTGTGCTTTTTTTTCATCTCAGAGATAATAAATATAATTTTTTTTTTTAATTCAATTAGGTCATTGATGCAAATCCTAGTAACAATCGAAATCAATTTACAGATTTATCACTTGTGGAAAAATATGAATTACCCGATGATGAATATGCTAAACGATCGGGTAAAATTATTTATAGAGCTATATGATTTGGTTTTAATCGAAAATAAATAACATTTAAATTTTTACATAAACTATTATAAAAAAGTTAGACTCGGTACTTGCATTTAAGCAACGTAATAAGTTGGGACGATTTGGCGATTCCAAATCTTTTACTTCAGATTATACATTTGAAGAGGAAGCAAAGAATATTAAAGTGGGCGATCGTTGTGAAGTTGATTTTGGTGAAGGAAATGAAGAGGGACTTAAAAGACGCGGTATTATAAAATATGTTGGTAGGTCTCTCAATTTTCCGGTTTTTATTGATTTATTTGAATTATTACCACCATTATTTAAATCAAAATTTGCTTGTTTACCGCAGGAGAGACTAAATTTAAGCCAGGTTATTGGATTGGTGTTCAATATGATGAGCCTGTCGGAAAACATGATGGAACGTATGTATTATAAAGATCTTTGATAATTTTTATTTTTTTAAAATGTTTTTGATCGCTCAACCTTTTTATTATTTGATCAAGTGTTCAGGGAGAACGTTATTTTGAATGCCCTCCAAAATATGGAGCGTTTGTTAGACCAAATAAAGTTAAAGTTGGAGATTATCCCGAAGAAAATCTTGAGGATGAAGAAATGTAGAAATAAAAATATTTTTATTTTTAAATTATGAAGATGATATATGAAAAAATTTTAATCCGTGATGAATATTTAAATTATACAATCTATTAACCATGTTATTTCATAGTTCCAGCTTCAGGAATTGACACCCCTTTAAATTCTTGATTACATTTTGTGCAAACAGTTTTTTTCTTTGCATATCCGCAAAACCTTGGTAAACCTAAACAAAATGCCCAAAATAATGTGCCACTTGTGCTAAATCGAAATAAAAGATACTTTATTTTAAAGTAATTATAATAAGAATCTTAAAACCAAAGTGAAAAAAAAAAGAATACTTACTAATTTAGCCTTAATTCGTGATTCCCACCTTTTGGACAAGGACCTAAAGATGCTGCTATTTTTCGTTGCTCATTAACTGCCGCATCTATGAACAAGAGAGAATATATATTGGATCTGATATTCTTTATATTTGGAATACTTGTATGTTCAAAATATTTCTTACCCTCATAAGGTTTGTACGTTTCATTGGATCCACTAGATACACCAGGATAAGTAGACATCGTGAAAGTATAATTTACAAATATTTTTGTTTGACCAATATTCGTAAATTAATTAATGGCATTGATAAAGATTTACCTAATTAATTATGACCATTAACTTATACGGTGAGTATGAAATCACTCGACTTATTATGGTTAGTGGTTTTCTAAAATAAGAATGTTTCATTCCAGGGATTACCATTTAATTTTAAATTGGACAAGTGTTATTTTGAGGCAAATAAATTGTAAATCATTCCCTCGTTTTGTATATACTTCGGATATGAGTTGTTGCATGGTATCATATTTATATATGTCAATAAAATCTTTTGATTTGTTTCCCCATGTAAAAATAAACTTTATGTACATATTAGTATGGTTCCAATTTGTCATTTTGTGAAATTAGTGATAATGCTGCAACATTCACTGATTAAGAGTATTGGATTTAGACAGATTCACAACTCTTGCGTGAATTACTTGACATACGTAATAAAAACGAAATGAATTTATATTTATTTAAAAAAGAAAAAACAAAGATGTATTAAGATGTATTCAATGAATCCGTGATCAAATAAATTGAATTGATGATGTTAAATAAATACATTCAATATATTTTCAAATCTTCAAATTTTATTACAAATTAACATATGGGAGGTTTGCTAGGAAAATAGATCTCTGGGAATTTTTTAACAAAATTTTGTTTTTTTATTGCATTTTAGTTTTTGATGTTATTGGATTAAAATGCAATAAGATCTTAATTTTGGTCAAAAAAATTCTTCCATTTTTCTAGTAAACTTTTCATATATGTTTTTTTATAAGTAGAAAATATATAGCTATCTTATATATTGACTAAAATTTCAATCAATCGATCATAAAAAAAATAAAGAGAAATCAATAATTAACTTATTATATATTAAAAGCTTATTTTTATTAAACAAATATTAATATAATTAAGCAGATTTTAAATATTATATTTTTTTACTTAATTATAATTAAAATACAATTAAAATATCAAATAAGTTAAATAATTTTAAACTTCAATTCAACTTAATTTTAAGTATATTTAAATATAACTTGATTCAATTTAATAAATGATGAGTATATTTTTTTAAAAAGAATGATTAAAGTAGCTTATCTAAAATTATTGGAATTTGATAAAATATCTAAACCTTTAGTTTTGCTAATTTTTACTAAGATTTTGATAAAGTTTTACCATTTTTATAAGCTTTGATATAGTTTTATCTTTTTGAGTTTCACAAATTTTTAAGTTTTAATATAATTTTACCTTTTATCATTTAAATAATTTACAAAACCTTTAAGTTTATATAGCAATCTTAAGAATTATTAAAAGATAATACTGGTATTTCTTTGAAAATAAGCATTTTCAAAAATAAGTATTATCATTTTTTTTAGTATTCAAAAATAAGTACCATTAAATTTTTGAATATCTAAATATTAAAACAACTAATTTGTTTAAAATTAAATGCTTTTTATTTATTTTTATTTAAAAGAATTTATTGCCATTAATATTTGCAAAAGAATTAATTTACAATTTAAGCAAAAAGTTATTTTATTTATACAAAATTAATTTGTTATAATTATCTACTTACTATGCTATAAATTAATTATTTTAGTAAACTTCAGCTATAAAATAATAATAAAAGAAAATAAAATAAAGATATAAATAGAAGATAAATTATAATGATAATAAAAAATAAAAGAAATAATAAAATAATAATTATAATGAAAATAATAAATATATAAAGAATTTAATAAAATAAGCCAATCAGGTGAATTTTGTAAATCTTACAAATTAAATAAATCAGTCTGATTTTTTAATGCAGTATATCAATCAATTTTGATGATATAATATAAGATCTTTCTTAATATGATCTATATGAAATTAAATCTAATGACTTTTGTAAATTATTTTTTTAAGACAAATTTTTAACGTTAATAATGCTTAATCTTTGTTAATAAATATTGATTACTTTAATAATAAAATATACTAATCCACTTATTTATGTAATATGTTAAATTATATAATCTTTGATGACTTATATATAGGTTGATTATTAGAAAAATCAGGTTTTGAGAATTTTTTAATAGAATTATGATTTTATTGCATTTTAGTATTTGATATTACTAGAGAAACAGAAACTATTATTAAGTTTGAAATAATCTTAACTAAAAAAATTCATACTGATATTTGCTTTATCTAGAATTTTGTGTAATTACAAAAGCTAATCAGCTTCAATTCAATTATTGAGTAAGCAGATACTAAAATATTTTTTCATTATATATTGTTATTGTAGAATTCTTCAACTCAAGGTGGTCACGTTATCAAGTCTCTACTCAAAATTTTTAATTGCAGTTTACTGCAGTCAAGACGTTAGAATCCACCTAATTCTTAACTCTACTAAATTTACACGTTAGACCTAAATAAATCTATCAAGTATGAAGACTTGAAAGACGAGATTATGAACAGTTTTAATTAAAGAATTTAGATGATGAACTCAAATAAATCAATAAAAACCGGAAAATTGAGAGACCTACCAACATATTTTATA